GGGGAGGGTTTGTTAGCCCCAGCAGCTATAGCAACGAGCCCGGCTGCCTGCCACAGCCCTGCTCGCCCCATCGCCCTGTGCCTGCCTGAGCCATGGAGATGGGAGCAGCAGGGGACCCCCATGGGCTCTGGGGGGACACCCCAGCAGGGACATATGTCATCCCGCCTGGGGTAAGCCCTGGAGAGCAGCTCTGCCTTTGGATTTATGGGATAATCAGGGCTCACGAGGGTAGGGTGGGGAAAATGGGGTAGGGTGGAAGGAGGGAGGGAATGCGGTTGGGGTTTTGGGCGGGCACTGGGGGCTGGAGCAGCAGAGCTGCTCTTTGCAAAATGCCTCCCTGCAGACCCTGGGGAAGGCCACTTCTGCACGGGGCCACGTCCCCAGGGGTTGGGACTTGCCAGGCATGCAGTTCATCCAGGCTTGTGGGGCTGCACCCCGGCAAAGAGGGGGGTCAGCACAAGCCAGCCCTTAAAGGCCTTTTCCAACCTAGATGATTCTATGATTCCTCCGCGGCTCTGATCCCTGCTCCCCCTGGAGCCGGCGTTGCTCCGCTCCCTGCCACCACCTCCTCTCCCCGCTCCTCCCCGGCTGCCACGTTAACCGGGCACTCAATTACAGCAAGAGTGGAAGATCCCTGGGGTTTTTCTTCCCCTCCTGCCTTTCAGCTCCGACCTGGGAGAGCTGGTGGGGCCATGCCGGTGCCCCAGCAGCCAGTGATGATTCTCCAGCAGCTTCCCAGCTCCGCAGCTGCCCTGGCCCCCCCCGCTGGACCCCCGCACGTCCGGGGAGGTGCGTGACAGTAGATGTTGTAGAGGTCAGCATTAAACCCAGCTTAACTTCATCCTCTTCTTTTTCTTCCAGCCTTTTCAGTATGAGGCGCAGGTGGGGGGGCTGCACCCCCCCTCTGCAGCCTCACAGGGCCGGCCACACCACGCTTTGATGGCTGCTTTGCCCCACAGGACGCAATTTTTGGTGGTTTTACCAACCTTGAAGTCTGGGCTGGCTTTGGCCACACCAGGGTGTTCGGGGGGAATAGCTTTGGGCTGTTTTTTTTGAAATCCACCTCTCTGTGTTCTCCAAAACCCCATTTCATGTAGGGAGCATCACCAGGGAAAGCTGGGGGGATGTGGGCTCCTTGGCCATGCTGGGTGGGACGGGAAGGAGACGTGTGCCAGCCCCAGAGCCCGTGGGATACAGCAGGCGAGAGCAAAGACCAACTGTGGGGGCTTCACCCAACCTTCTGCAGCCCAGGATCCAGCAACCTGGGCTGGAGAGCAGACAGCAGAGGCAGGGCTCGGGGTCTGTTGTCCCTGGGGCAGGCTGGGGGTGAAGCCATGCAGCCTTGCGGGGTGGGGGGAAGGTTGAAATAAATATACACAGAAGAAAGGGCAGAGTCCAAATTGGTGTGGGAAGAAAACGGAGACCCCAGCCCGGCCCCTCACAGCCCCGGGGTGGGGGCTGGCTGCCGTTCCAGTGGGATGGGTGGGATCCATTACGAGCTGCCAGCCCTTCCCGTGCTTTCTTCTCCCGGCTCAATGCCTGGCTGCTGGCCTGCTCCCTCCTCGCAGCTCCGGCTCCGGCCACCTCCCGGGTTGTGCTGTAATGCTCCTCGCTGGAGGGTCGGCTGCCTCATGGGTGCCCTGGGAGCCCGTCCCTGCAGCTGTGGAAGCATTTTGGGATCTGGCATGTGGGACACAGGGATGCCCATACCCCTTTTTATTCAAGGCTCTGGCTAATGGGGGCTGATGGGTCTTGTGCACAAAGCCGGCGGGATCTCAGGGTCAGTCCCTCCGGCAGGTTTGCAGACATTTTGCAGGGGAACTTCACGCCTACGGCAAACAGGGATGCTTTAACGGGGATGCAGAGCCAGATGCTGCATTTCCCCTGCAGCTGGCTTGCCCTCAGCAGCCCCACCGCGGCTGGGGCATCCAGCCAAGGGGACTGGGATGCTAACCTGTACGTGCACGGCTGGTCCGGGTCCCAGCTCCTCATTTGGAGCCAGGCAGGGGCTGGGGAGGCACCGAGCATCCCCAGCCTGCTCCTCTCCTGGATCCAGCTCCGCAGGTGCTTGCTCCTGGGGTTGGAGATGGGAGCAGCCCCCGTGCTCCAGCCCCAGCTCCTGCCTCCTTGGGGGGTGTCTGAGCTGCCCCCGTGCGTGACATGGTGCAAAGTGGAGCTGACCCTGGTGTCCTCCCCATGTGGTGCCACCCCCAAGACACCGGCTCTGCCGCCTGGTGCCAAGGCCGAACCTTGCCAAGCCGCTGAGCGATGCCAGGACCAGAGCAATTCTCCTCCAAATGGGCGGAAAGTCTGATGCCTCCAGCACCACTAATCACCTTTTGTGAGCAGCCTTCAGCAAGCCAGACCAGATGTTTAATCACATTTGCAAATAAGAAAAGGCTGAAATATGGCTATTTTAAAGCTTTATCCAAGCAAAATAATTTTTAAGTGCCACATGGGCCTTCCAAATTGGGGTGGGGGGAGTTTGGCGTAGCTCCGACCGCTTGGGCACAGGGACAAGCCTTGGTGCCGCCCCATCCCAGGCACTCATCCATCCTGCGGCTGTGTTTCTCGTGCCCTTGCTCGGATCTCTCTCTGATGCAGAGCCCCTTACTCTCCTGCAGATTTAGTCGAGTTGATGATGATTCAAAACTCCCAAATGCACCAGGTGGTGATGAACAGCCTGGCTGTGTCGGCACTGACGTCTTTCGGGTTTGGGCCATCCCCAGCTACTGCCCAGGTAAGGGTCAGGGATGCTGGATGGGCGAAGGGACTGTAGGACTAGAAAGGACAAAAGGACTAAAGAAACAGGCAAAGGGACCTTTCCAGAGCCACTCAGGAGAGGAAGACACCCGTGTCCCTGCACGGTGTGGGACACCTCCGGGTGCAGAAGCTGGGTGGTCTCAGCCCAGGCCCTGCAGCCCCTTGGAGTTTCGGGGCTCTTTGTGCTTGTTTGCCCCCCAGCTCTGCCAGCACAGATCACATCCAGGCTGCTCAGGGGGGATTTAACCCAGCCGGGAAGCACCAGGAGCCTCCCTGCGTGCTGCAGCGTGGGCAGAGCGCAGCACTGGGCTGCGGCAGCCGAGCAGAGGGGCTGAGCACCGCTTGTTAGGCAGGATGGCTCTGCAAGGGCTTTCATTTAAAAGTCCATCTCCAACCCAAATCATATGAAACATTTCATCTCCAAGGGGGAAAACAAATGAGGGCAGCTGCCTCGCTCGCTGCCAGCTGGCATCTCCAGGCATACACCCCCCCCTGCTGCCCACCCAGCGCCCACCAGTTCCCCACTGGTCAAGACCAGACCCTGCCTGTCACACCTCAGCGTCCGGATCAAACGGGCTCTTCCCAGCAGCATTTTGAGGTCCCATCTGTGGGACTGTCACCTCCCCATGTCCCCAGCAGCTGGGTTCCCACGCTGGCCGACCGCGGGGCTTTGTGTGGGATTGAGCCCACCCAGCCGGACCCTGGGAGAGCTGCACTGTGCCAGCGGCATCGCAGGCAAGCACGGCTCCGTGGGAAGTCCCTTGTTGGTGCTTTGGGGTCCCAGGGAGAGGGCTGCCGCAAGGGGCCTGGCACAGCCCTGCCTTTTGTTCCTCCCCGCAGGCGATGGCGGTGCCTTTGCAGACCAGAGAGGAAGAGGAGGCTGTGGTTTTCCACCACCACTATGTCCCCTACCCTGGTCCTGCTCCTATCCTGGCGTGGCCGGTGCCGGTGTGGGATCGGGGGCCAGAGGCCATGCGGTACTGGGGTGCAGGCTCATTAGCTGAGGATGGGGAGGTGTGAGTAACGAGGGTGCTGCTGTGTGCCACCCAGCGCAGGGGCTCCTGGTGTCACAGGACTTCCAGCCCAAGCTGGGATGCAATGGGCAACACCAGGCCAGCACTTACTCCTGTCCTTGCTCCTCTCCAGCAGCACAGTTCCCCCCCCTCCACCTCCCAGCGCCACGGGGACCGTGGGAGCCAGCGTCCCACCAGCATCAGGTAAGGCCATCATCTCCCCATGTCCCTCAGTGAGGGACATCTTGTCTTCAAGCATCAACCGGGCAGTCCTTGGTCAAAGGCTGAGCCCTCCCTGTTCCATCCATCCTGGAGGTGGCTCTTGCGCATCCTCCAGGTCCCCTTTTCTCCCCACAGAGTACTATGACGTGATGGAGGAGAGGCTGTGAGCTCCATGCTTCCCAAGATGGTTTCTCCTGCACGTCCCAGCCCTCAGCCCCAGAATATCCTGCAGGTGCTGAGCATGGGTGCTCTATGAATGTCGTAGCTTCGGGGTGGCTCACAGGGAGGAAGCCAACATGCCCAGGGCACGTTGGCTTCCTCCCTGTGAGCCATCCCGAGGCAGGGGGGGTCATGAAGCCTGTCACCAAACCCAGGTGACAGCATGACCCCAAACAGGGGCAAGCTTTGCCTCCACACTCTGTGGAGGATTTGTCCCCAGCATGTTACTGGTGACATCCCAGTCCCGGCTGGACAAGTCCCCAGGCCACGAGGACTCTGCAGCACGAGCTGTGCTGTGTCCCCGGAGGTGGGGTGGGAGGAATGTGGGTGATGCCAGCCCAGGTGGTCCTTGTCTTCATTAGTCCCTTCAGATCTCAATGCAGCACATTGCCTGTAATTAATTTGCTTTGTTAATAAAGCGCCCTGCTGTCACTAATTAAGCATCTGTAATTACCCAGACGGCTGGTTTCGTGCCTGAGTGCAGGGCTCCCTCCAAGCTGGTGGAGGGGGGTGCGAGCCTCTTGTACCCAGTGCAGGGGGGATATCAGTGCCTGATGTGGGTGCTGGGGTTGGTGGTTGGTGCTGGGAAGCAGAGTGGGATGCTCCTGGCTGAGCACAGCACGGGGAAGAGCTAGATCTGGCCTGCAAACTTGCGTCCCCTCACCAGGAAAAAAAGGGGGAGATGCATTTTTGGGTGCTGGAAGCTGTCCCCTGCCTCTGCTACCTCCCCAACCCACCTGGGGGGTGACAGCCTTGCTCTGACCCCAGTGGGGTTACGGGCCGGTTGTCAGAAGGCTTTGCCTTAGTAGCAGAGCTCCTAGCAGGAGGCTTCAGGGCTGGTGGTCACCTGGAGCACAGAGCACGTGGAAAGATGGTGCTTAGGCAGCTGCACCTTAAATCCTCCCCTTCTGCCCTCATGGGGCATGAGGACTTCCCCGTCTCTCTTCTGGGGTGCCTATGGAAAGGAGGGCTCATCCTCCCCGAGCTCAGGACCGAGCCATGCTCTGGCACAGGCAGATCTTCCCCTGCAGCAAAGCTCAGCCTGGCTCCCGCTGAAGCTGGAGAAGCAGCTCCTCAATGTGGAGAAAAAGAGCCACGGGGGGGGGTGCGGCACAAAGGCACATCTGCAGCTGGGAGCACCCCGAGAGGCTGCGAGGCCAGCCGGGCAGAGCAGCAAGAGCAGAAGTGAAGGAGGCCACCCAAAAGCTGAGCTGAGTTTGATGGGAAACCCGTCTGGAGCACAAAGGCTTCCATATCCACTTAGACAGAAAGGGAAGGAGGAGGCGAGGAGTCACCTGGGGATGGGGTGGACAGGAAGGGCGGGCACAAGATGCGGCCCAATCTTAGCTTGAACATGAGAATAAGAGGAATGGGAGGATGAAGCAATGGGGATTGCAACACCCATGGTGGAAGCAACCCTTGGAGCCCTCTCTGGGTCGCGCTGGTGGGACCGGGGCACCCTTCAGCTGGCAGCAGGGAGAGCGTGGTACAACCAGGAGCCTGAGGGCATTTGCTTGCACCCACATCAGCAGGGACAGGGAGAAGGGGTGGGTAGAAAGGGCAGCCGTGGGCGTGGAGGGGAACGGACAGGGGAGGTGCAGAGTTGTTGAAGGTGAGCTGTGCTGGACGAAGGGCAGGGCTCTGCCTTTGCCCCGGGGGTGTGATGCCTCTCCCCAGCACTGCGCTATGGGACCGCTTGCCCCCGAGCCCAGGGGTTGTTATGGGAAGGCAGGAGCAGAGCGCTCTGACCCCCAAGGGGTCCTCAAGAGAGGAACCAATGGGTCTGGGCAGCAGCGTGGGGATGTCCCCGGCAGGGCTTGGGACATGGAACAGCCGGGCTGGGAGATGCTGCTGGTGGCTGAGCCCTGGCCAGAGCTACCTCTGCAGTGACAAGCTGTCGTGGTTTTACCCGGCTGGCAACTCAGCACCATGCAGCTGCTCACTCACTCCCCCGTCCCTCAGTGGGATGGGGAAGAGAATCGGGAAGAAAAAAAAAAAGGCTAGAGCCATGGGCTGAGGTGGAGACAGTTTAATAAGAGAAAATAATAATAATGAGAATGGTAAGAGAACATACAGAATATACAAAATGAATGATGCACAATGCAATTGCTCACCACCCGCCGACTGATGCCCAGCCTGTCCCGAGCAGTGATCCTTATCAACATTCTTCTGGTACTAAATCCAAAACACAGCATACTAGGAAGAAAATTAACTCTATCCCAGCTGAAACCAGGACACAAGTGCTGGCTTTTTAAAAGCAAGACCAAAGTTTCCCGGATCCTGTGCGCCCAGAGCGCAAGCAGCAGAGCGGGAGGCGAGGCTGGTTACAGCCCTGTGCACGCGATCGCAGCGAGGTGAACACCCAACACAGCGCAGCCCCTGGCTGCAACCGGGGCGAGGGCTGGCATCTCTGTCAGCCCAGGGTGGGCGCAGGGAGGTGGCGGGGCCCAGACCCCCGTGGCGTTGCTCGGACCCTGGTGACATGCTGGGAGAAGAAGGGCAGAGGGGTCTTTGCAGCCCAAATTGGGGGGGAGCAGAGAGATGGGGAGCACTGGCACCACATGCCTGCTGCAGATCTGGGCAGGGAGCAGCAGGGAGATGTTTTCCAATAACCTGATACACTGCAGGGTGAGGTTTGGGGCTTAGCTCCGATGCCAACAGGGATCTGCAACAAGCCTTGCTGGGATGATGTGCATGGACCAGAACCAGCTCCCGCTGTCCCTACCAGCTAGGGTCCCCCTTTCCCAGGGCTGGGGTCCCTGAGGCCAGGAGAGGTGCCCAGAGCATGGGCACTTTTGTGGGCAACAGATCTGATCACGTCAAGCTGGAGGCACTGCAATGGCTTTTAACAGCCCAGGAGGGCTCTCATCAGCAGTGACACCTTGGGGGACCCAGGGTCCCCAGTGTTGACTCAGCCACCTCTCTCCACCCTTGGGGGGGTGGCCTGCCCCCCCCGTTGGAGCCAGTCCATCCTCAAGGCTCCGTACAGGGTGAGATAACACAGCACCTTCCCCTGGACCAGCCCCAAACGCCCACGCGCTGCTCTGCCAGTGCCTCTGATTCACTGGCCACGCTCTGTGGCATCCCCTGCGCCACTCGCCCTGCTCCTGGAGACGTGGCTGAGCTCCCCAGCATCCTCCCGCCGGGGCAGTGTGATGGAGGTGCTCCTGCTCCTCTTGGCAGCCCTGCTGCTTTACCGGTACAATGCCACCTTCCGCTACTTCTGCAAGGTGGCCTTCTTCAACTTCTGGCTCGTGGCCGCAGCCACCCTCCTGTCCCCCTTTGCGGCTCTTCGGGGACGCTCCGTGGAGAACATGAAGTGAGTATGCCCTGGGGATGTGCTTCTGAGGTGGAGATGGCTGGGGCTTGGCTGTGATGGAGGAGCTCATGAGGTCGTGTGGGCACACGCCCTCTCCTGCTCTGGGCATACCCAAAGCCCTGTCATGGCCAGTGGTTGAGCCCTGGGGCTACAGTGAGGGCTGTGGTCATGTCCATGTGGCAGTGAAGGGTGCATCTGCATCTCGTGGTGTGGTGAAGAGGTGCTGGCCATGCCCAGGGAGGGTTATGCCCCACGATGGAGGTGGCCAACTGGGCCGGGACTAGTGGTCCCTGGAGGATGAATTAGCATGAAAGGGATCATTCTTGGCCATTGTAACATTGGGGTCATTGGGTGGGTGACGGCGGGGCTGGCAAAGCTTGGAGGTGCGATCGTTAACAGGATGCAAATGCACACCCATCGCCGCTTCCCCGGCAGCACAGTCAGGTCTTGCTCAGTGATAGCCCCGGGGACCGTGCTTTGGCAGAGGGGTTTGGGGATGCCCGGGTGCCACCGGCCGTGGGGCACGGCACAGTCACATCCTGGCGAGTCACGCGCTCGTGCTGTCAGCTGTGCCGAGGGGTGGTGGCAGCCCAGATAACATCGCTGTGCAACACGAGAGGAAGGTCTGGCTGCTTCCAAGGGTGTCGCAATCTTGTTACTGGATTCCTGAGCATGATGGCATACCAGAAGGGATATAATTATGTCAGAGTGAAAAATGTCCGAGCTTGTGGTATTTGCTGAGCTCGGGCCATCACGTACTTGTGCTGATGGATTTCGGGCCCTCAGCAGGAGCATGGTCAGAGGCTGGATGTTGTCAGGCTGTTGTGTAGCCTCGCTCCCTCGTCCTCGCTGTGCAGAAAGGCTGTGCACACACGCACACGGCCGGAGGTGCTCCAAGCCCTGGCGCAAATGCTTCCAGCTTAGTGGAAATACCCAGCGTGATGCAGCCGTGACTCAGGCTGCCTTATCTTGTCCCACCGGCACCTCGCCACCGCCCTCTGACAGAGCAGCATGCTCAGCTCCGTCTCCTCCTCAGCCTCCAAATCCCAAAGCCTCCGGCTTGGGAGCACGTTCCTGGCATTAATCCTGGCTTTGGGGCATTGCCACAAGTGTTTTGCTTCTCTGCAGACACAGGGATCTTGGAGCCTGCGTCTCCCCAGGGATGGGTGGCGCTCTGATACAACGGACCCTCTAAGCATCGTGCCTCCTCCTCTCTCTATGCCTGCCTCTGCTCTGTCCTCCCAAACTTCCCATCCCAAACTTCATTTTGGGCTGCCCTGGGAAGTGGTCGAGTCCCATCCCTGGTGGGATTTAAAAGCTGGGCAGACGAGGTGCTGAGGGCCAGGGTTTAGTGGTGGGATGGGAGGGTTAGGGGAACGGTTGGGCTTGGTGAGCTTAAAGGGCTTTTCCAATCTGAATGATTCTGTGATTCTGTGATCCCTGCCTGGTGCTGAGTTCTTGCTGACAGCCCTGTCCCCTGTGGGCTCCCTGGGACCAGTCACTGCCAGATGTGTGGACCAGATGGGTGCTCTTCATGCCATGGGCTGGCGAGTCCTCATTTCGACACCGAAAGTGTACCAGCCTTTTATCGCTGCTGTGGGTGCTGCAATCCCCGTTGCTCCCTCCTCCGTCCGTTCCTCTTGTTATTCTCACACCGAGCGTCACTCTGCACCAGCGCTGCCAGCCTGATGTTACCTTTCCCATCCAACCCTCCCTGGGTGGTGACACCTCTCTTCCCTGTTCCTCCGTCCACCTGCACAGGTGAAACCTCCATCTCTTCCACTGCAGGTCCAGCGAAGCTCCTCTTTGTGATTTCCTCCACCTCCAGCTCAGTGCCTCTCGGCTGCAACCCAGCTCCTCTGGCTTTAGCTGTCTGCAGCGCAGACTGTGAGCCCGCTGTCCGGGTTTCCAGATCCAGCCGTGCCCATGCAGGAGCCTCAGGGTGAGGCTCACCCCACCAAAGGCAGTTGTCCTCATTGGGATGGGATGATTTCCACCTTGGCTGCAGGCAGACATCCCATTCCTCTCGCTTTCCCATCATCCCTGGACATCAAAACCACTGTTTTTTTTCCTCCCACCAGCTTGTGCTGGCTGCTCTTCTCCACCAGCAGCTCCAACGCAGACTTTCTACTGCTGAGGCAGCACCTTGGGGTGGGTTACAAGGTTAGCTCTGACCTAGGCAGGCTACAAATGCGCTTAGAAAAGCAAAGCATCACCAAGACTGAACACAGATCCACCCTGGGACACGCTATTTGCTCATGTAGGCCAGCCCTAGCCTGGCCCCGTCTTGCACCTTGCTACCTGAGTGATTGTGAAGGGCTGGAAAAAATCAAGCGGCCCCGCTCTGTGTCGATCTGCTCCCCACATGTTTTCCTCTGCCCCAGGCTCCTGTGTGCTGCGATCCGGCCCCTCAAACACTTCTATGGCATCAAGATGCAGGTGTGGGGCTCCGAGCATCTGAACATCAAGGAGCCCTATGTGATAGTTTGCAACCACCAAGCTTCTCTTGACCTCCTGGGTATGTGTGAGGGAGGGGGGGGCTCATCACTATATGGGCAGCCTTTGGGGTGCTGCAGGGGTGGACCAGGCTCACCCTGGGGGGTCCCAGCAAGGTCAGCACCACGATTTGTACAGGGCAGTGTGGTAGGCGTAGGCCAGAAGAGCTGGTGGGACAGGAGCTCGGGGCTGCAGGGAGAGGGTTGGGATGATGGGAGATGATCTTCTCCCAGGTAATGGGTGATAGGATCATAGAATCATTTAAGTTGGAAAAGCCCTTTAAGATCATCAAGCCCAACTATTCCCCTAACCCTGCCATCCCACCACTAAACCCTGGCCCGAAGCACCTCATCTGCCTGGCTTTTAAATCCCTCCAGGGATGGGGACTCGACCCCTTCCCTGGGCAGCCCCTTCCAGTACCTGACAACACTTTTGAAGAAGAAATTTTTCCTAATGTCCAACCTAACCCTGCCCTGGCACAACTTGAGGCTGTTTCCCCTCATCCTGAGGGACCTGGCCAGGCTGGATCAATGGGCTGAAGCCAACTGTATGAGGTTCAACAAGGCCAAGGGCCGGGTCCTGCCCTGGGGTCACAACAACCCCACACAACGCTACAGGCATGGGGAAGAGTGGCTGGAAAGCTGCCCGGCAGAAAAGGACCTGGGGGTGCTGGTTGACAGG